TGTGTGTGTGTGTGTGTGTGTGTGTGTATGTGTGTGTGTGTGTGTGCGTGTGTGTGAATGTGTAATATGGTTATACACATGTATATCATGTTAAGCTATAAATACGAGATATGCACATGTTTCGTAAAGTCGACCATTTGGTTAAATTACAAAGAGAAAGAGAGTGAAAATGTAATGCTTGGATGATTTGGTGTATCCAGTAATATAGAAACAGACTGGGAAGGGAGTGGGGAGTAATAATCAAAATAATTATGTCACAAGCAGACATATTTTATGAAGACACCTTGGTGTCAGTGTTCGACTTCTGGCTGGTCCACTTTTGCACGTCTGCAACATTTGTACATGTAATAATATTGTAATGAATGTTCACATTTTATCAAATTTTGCAGCATCATTGATTTTCCTGATGCACTTTTTGGCTGTTGTACTTGTTGGTAATGTTGTTTTTGTTGTTATTCTTGTTGTTGTTGCTGTTACTGTAATAATTGTACGCTCTGTGCATTGGGTGCATTTATGTGCAAATTTCTATTGGCACCCTGTCTATACACTTTCTCCTTACAAACCTTCTGTGATTCCCATGCTCTCATAAGTTATCGCTCAGTTCTCATTACTCATTCTCCCCAAAAGGGTAAACTACAGTGACAGCCAGAGAGTGCCGCCAAGATTACATAATCATTGTGACCTGTCTGTTCTCTGGGCTCGTATAATAAACCAAGTTGTAACCCAAGATTGTTTTTGTTGGGGAACGCTAGCCGAGATTTCAAAGCTTCCGTAAATTATTCATGGAGACGGAACGCTTTGAAACTGGGCAGATTATGAGGGGAAACAATCCCAGTATATTATACGTGCTTATGCAGATTCTTTGTTTACCATGCCGGACTCATGTCAGTGCTGTTTCATGTAGTGAGTTAAAGTTATTCCCAAAATACTGGCGCACCGGGGTTCTGACAGGGGCCGTATTACGTCCTGCACTATCTGATTCTGCCCCTCCACCAGGTGGCTGTTTTGACAAGCGTGTACAACTGTGGCGTGAAAAAAGTTGAGTTTTTTTTAGGTAAGCAAAATTGGAAATGTTTAAAAAAATTGCTCTCACAAAAACATGATAAACTAAAATAAACACGCGACGGCATATTATAGGGTTCATTACGTTCGACCAATTTTTACGGGCGTGGGAAGTTATAGGCCTAGTAGAGAAAATGAAACGAAATAAAGCATATAAAAGTTCATAGCGTTCAGTCTGTTTTCAGGGGTCGTTGAGTGCTCATGCAAGAATAAAAAGCACTTGTAAATGTTACCATTTCATCGAAGAGTCATAGCATGTGGTGTCAACATGCGAAACAAATATGTGCAAGACTAAACATAGTAGAACGCCGCACAATCGTATTGTTTTAGTATTAACAAAGATGGCTTTTTTACAAATATTATTATAAATCAGAATATCGGTGAGCGTCATGATTTGATCACGTGTTCAAAGGATCCTCACTTGGTTACACCAACCATTAGTGCGTAAAGTACACGTAAAGGGAAAGTGGAATGCCCGAGATCAGAATCCGGAGCAATCGAGTTCGTTTTCACACCTCACGAAATTAGCGGCCATTACGCAAACACTGAATGTACCAGAGGCTTAAATTTATTTGTTGGAGTGATCAGCAAGTCGATCTAATTTTTGCTTCACCGCCAATCAGCGTAAATTAGAAGGAACGTCTCCATCAGTCCAGGATTCACGTCTATAATCACAAGAAAGTGCTTAGACAGCAAGTTCCGGGTTCCATAAAAGGCCTTGGGGCGCCTTTGTCTTGTGGATACATGATAATATTTGCATTACACGAGTGTTAATAGTGTTATATAAATCACTGAGCACTGATTCCCTTGTGTTTTGTGACTGATTCCGATCTGCACAAATCTTCTTTGAAGATGATATATGATCTTAATGAATTTTGTCAATGTGAATTTTGAATGTTTTTGCACATGCATTTATTTGGTATATTTTGTTGTTTCAATGTATATCGTTAGGTTCTAGTACAGATGTTGAGTTTGATCAAATATTTGCTTTCTTGGAGTTCTGTTATTGTCGTAAGATGTTCCTGCGATGTTCCTGCCTCCTTTACGATACAACTATTGTCGGTTAAAACGCTGTTGTGAATAGTCTACTGTTAATCCCAGTAGGAATATATGTGTTGCCGACCTTCATCACTTTCATCTAGTTATTTTTTTCTTTTTCCTGAAACCTTGGTCTTCATTGGAAAAGAGCATTAGTGACACGTTGACAGGTGGTCCGAAATAGTAGCTTCTTTACTGCTAGAATTTTTTGGTGTTAGTAAAAATATGAAAACTATGATATTATGTTGAGTGGTGAGTGGTTTATGTTTCAGATTTAACCCCGGCAAGAAACCAAGCAACTACCTACTTGAAAAAATGTCTTTTAAACAACGACAATCTTCAGTTTTCAACTAGAGTCATGAAAAGGGCTTTACCTATGCCCAGGGGAAGTAAAAGGAGAGAGAGGGAGTGATTACAGACTGAATGAAAATACTGTTATTGCAAATTCCTGACTATCATGGTCATGTTTTGCTACAGTCGCTTTGAATCTTTGACATTGTTATCGTCGACACAACTGGAGACGCCTGGAATCATGAGACAGAGTTAATTCGGGATGACTTTGGTTACCTTGTTATGCCCCACAGGTAGGCCCTACACAAACGATATGTTTTGTGATTTAAGCATGTCATATATTCCCGCTGTTATCGTGGAATGTTGTTGTTGGCTCCACCAGGACGAACGCGGCCGTGTCAAATAATGTTAGGTTTAGTATTTTTCTTTACTTTTATTTTTAAATGAAGGGGCGGAAATGTGTTATTTGATCGTCCCCCCC